TATGTGGGGGCGTGTTAGAACGAGCCGTTTTAGGTAGGCGTGGTTGATTCTTTTATAAAGAATATCTCTTTGGATTTGAGACTTTAGTCTTTGCAAATTTACAGATCTTCTTTATGCACCAAGAGCTTGTAACACTCCAAAGAGAAAGGAAAAACTGAAATCGCATCATATGACCCCTTTAAATATCTATTTATAAGAATCGATGACAGATTTTAAAAAGAAAGATTTATGGTGCTCTAAGCACATTATTACTGTAGCTCTGGCGGTCTGCAGTAATACTCAACAGGCTAACGGCACCACTGTAAATTTGATCTCAAATGTGATTTCCCTCACCAAAGTCTAAATTTAAGACTTTTGTACAACACAAGATCCAAGTGTTCCTCCTGTATAATGTATGGCCATGCTCTTAAATCAAAAACGGCTTTGTAATGAAACATTAGCATGTTAACTTAGGCACTCTAAGACCACAGGACAACAATGCACACTCAAAGAGGACACAGAAAGCCGTGAGAACACTCTCTTTTGATCTAAAAGCTTTTGCTGCAGTCATGCCATGTTGTAATAAATATTATTAGATGGCAACCCAGGATGTCCTACTTAGAGCTGTTCATGTCCTCAGAATTGGAATTATGAGTTTTTATGGCAACACTTAACACCAAAATTAATCTGTGTTATTTGAGTAAACAATAGACGAAACCTCAATACAATATATAATGAAAATGCCTTATTAATAACCTTATAGTTTAGTCAGTGGGGCATTAGAAAGTTATTCTGTGCTAACTCTGTGCTAGCTATATTAAAATGTATTGTATGTTTTTTTATTTACAGATTATTCTTGCATTATCAAGAAATGAACAGTAGTCGCATACATAGGAATTATTAAACAGAAATATTATGAAATAACTGCATTTTACACATAAGTAAAAAAAAAAATTGCAATAATGAGTTCTACAAGGACATGAACGCTTTCTACAAGTAGATATCTCATAATTCTGGTAATTCCAACATGGCGTGAACGCAGCTATATTTTAACAGGATACGCATACGGATGTGTGCTTTTGTGTGCATCAAAAAGGTGACATGGTAATATACCATGGAGTATTATGTAAACACACTGTACATAAATGATAATCATTCAGTGATATGGTATTTTTCAGAGTACCATGGTAGTACCATCTGACACAGTAATGGCAATTTCCTTTAGCCACAAATATGTCAACTGAATATATCAACGGAAATGTTCCATTTATCTGCATTTTGTAATCTATCCAGGAATATTTAAATATATCATTGATATAGTTCATTTAAGTAGATTTTTCTAAACTATTTGCTACTTTTTAAGTGATGAACACTTTTTGAGGATGAAGAGGATTTAATATCGCTCACTAATAGAATATTTGACAATATTAATTGTCAAATAGCCGATCTTCGCATAGCTCCAGTGGCCACTTTGATGCTCCACCAAACACCTCGATGTTACTGTCGGTCCAGGCCACCACATTCCCAGGTATGTAGGATGAGCAGTTTGACATGGCAATGATATCCGTGGAGCGCAGGACCCGATCCCAGACGTTAAAGTGGCTCAGTTCCCCCACAAAGGCCTGGGTGGCATCAAAGCGCCCCCCTACTACATCCTGTTGAGGCCATAAACGACAGGCCTCGTTAAGACAACAACAATAACCCCTTTTATTCACTCTTAGAGGATGTGCATGCTAACTCTATGACATTGTTTACTGCCTGAGGTCAAGTTTTATTTAAAGTGTAAAGTTCATGAGTCAGTAACACTATTGTGCAGGGATGGCATAATATTAGAGATACAGTGTGACTGTGTACTGTGAGGTCTGGGAATGCAGCAAAAACTGCTGCATCAGCTCTGTTTATGTTCTCACCTGCTCTTGGCCCAGGATAAGGACTCCTCCGGGCTTGATAGGGTGCCAGGGAGCCAGATTTTCTCCTGAGGCCAATCTTTGGCCATCCTGGTAGGCTTCCCAAAGCCCATCCCTAGTAGTCCAAGTGATGCAGACATGGTGCCACCTCCCATCACTCAGTGATAGAGGTAGCTGCGCCACCTATTTGACAACAGGAGGTATTAAAATAGTTTAGCAATATTATTTTCTTTAATGCACAAAGTGGGATCTTAAGTTTCTTTTTGTCCATACAAGGAATTATACTGCCAAGATGTAAAACAACAAAAAAACAGGAACCAGTTCTTGTGGAGTTATAAAGTAAAGGTATAGTTTTCCCCAAAATTTTCTCATCATTTACTTGCCCACATGTCATTCCAAACCTGTGTGACTGTTTTGGTTACCATTGACTTCTATTGTATGGGGAAAAAAAATCTAAGAAAGTCATACAGGGTTGGAATGACATGAGGGTGAGTAAATGATGACAGAATTGTAATTTTTAGGTGAACTACGCTGTCAAGTCATTGTACTTTTAACATTTAATCTTCATTTACGCTCTCCAAACTAATCTGCAGTCGTGTTTTTTTACATTTCCAGGTCACGTAAACTCGATGTTGGTCGTCAATGACGTCAATCCTCATGCAATGCGTCTAGACAGTATTAATAACTTTGACACTTTTATGCTGCTTTTCCTTTTTTGAAGTTTGTCAGTATAAATCACCATCTTTTTGTACTATTTTTTTTACAACTATTTGTTGTAAAAAAGTATGAAAGACATTTCTATTGTTTATAAACATACTCATAAGATTTCTTATACATTCATTATGTATCATCTATGTCAATATAGAAGGTATAAGTTAAATGATGAATAATAATCTGCAGTGTAATAATAATAGTAATAATAATCATCATCAGTGTCCTCATAACATTCAATGCCAAATCTGCATTTCTTACGTTGGTTCCTTACCTTGTCATTAATGAGCAGTTCTATAGGGTTATGGCCCCATTCGATCAGTACAATCTCATTTGCCTGTCCAGGCACTCCATAGGAAAACGGGGTTCCGATGCCAGGGCTCAAACCTGACTTGAGCCACATGCAGATAGTGAAGGCGTACATTTCTGGCAGGCTTTTCTTTACTTGTCCAAAAAGGTAATTTGTGCGAAGAGGAAGAGAGATCTTGAAATTCTCTGGTGATTTAAATCCAGCTCCTCCTAAAGTCAAAAAGTGTGATTATTGCGTCATCTCTTGAATGATGTAGAAATATGCTGATGGACCACAAAACAGCTTGATTACCCCCTCTGCACTGGAGGGTAATGAAGTCCCTAACTCTTTTAAATCAAACATTAAGGAAAGTAATGTGGACAGCTATGATCAAGAGTAGATTTTAGTGTAGAGGAAACCAAGAAGTGAACTGTAACACTATCGCGGATAAATATGGGAATATTTTATCAAATTTTGAAGAACATAATTCTAAACAGTTACAAACATTAACAAATAAATGTGGTACAGCACTCCTTAGTGTCATGTACTTGGGAAAGAAGAATGACTAGAGAACATAGGAGTTTTTTATGCAGACCTTTCTCCAGTTCAGAGATCCTGTTCATGAGAGAGTTGAGGGTACTGTCAGTGCGCTGGCGATGAGCGACTGTCTCATTATATAGCTGGGACTTCTCTTCCTCAAGCTCATTGACCTTCATGAGCAGTTGATTTTCCAAGTCCTCCAGTCTACGCTGCAGTAGATTTCTCAGCTCATTAGGAAAGGAGGCACCAGAGATATTGGCTCGCATTTGCTGTTGCTTTGGAAAGTTAAACAAATAAATGAAAAGGTTACTTTTCAAAGCTTCCTAATATATAGCTGACAGAAATGTACAAATGATTTTCTTTGCCTTATAGGACCTATTCCGTTCTGAACACTAAAAAGAAGTGCAATTCCTTTGTACATATAGGCTATAATCCAGTTAGTTTCTTTTGTACATGTTTCTTTTAAAATTTATAATGAATATATTAAATACCCACAAGAATGTCTTGAAGATACACCATGCAGGATAAATAAAAATAAATAATAAAAACATGTACATAAATTTCTGCTAAGGACAAAAATTATTTGCTAGGTCTCATGGTTAAATGTTTTTTAATGACATAGGTAAGTAAATACAAATATGTTTAATAAGTTCAATTGCTGATATTTAACTGTAATGGAATACATACACTGTAAAAAAAAAAATACGGTAAAAAAACAACAACTGTGGTTTCCAAAAAATTACGATATGGCAAGACCACTTCATGTGAAAAAAAAACAACAACAACTATAATATTGTATTAGAGTTACCGTTCGCTCCATCATTTCACACATTCAGATTAACACCTGACATTTAAGTGGCACTGACACATTCCAGACATTTTGTCGCTTGGGGCATCGTAAGTAACTTTGGCATTTGTGGTTAAGGGATAGAGACGTACTAACTAATGAGATAATCCCTGTCAATCTTCAACGCCTCCACATAATTACCAAAATAGTCGTGGCAGAGAAACTTCCCGCACAAATGTGATTTTAGTCATTTAATCTGCTTATTTATTCATGTAGAATATGACAAAGCGTCAAACTTCCATAGCTAAAATAAACCCTCTTACCTCTAGATTTTCCAATCGATCTTTCAGACTCTGCATGGTTTTTCCAAGAACGGCAATGGTGTCATTTGGATCTTTAGGTACATCGTCCATTGTGTCCTTATTCATTTTCCTAAACGTTTCGGAGTCAGACTCACAGCGTGACAGCTTAGACGTCAGCTCTTTAATCGTTTCTAACTGATTGCCAATTGTCTCCTTCTGTTGTAGGATGGTCTCGCGAAGTTGCATGACGGTGTTTCTCAGTTCCTCCTCCCGGACCGATGCGCTTTGAACAGGCAGAGACTGCACGGGGCAACTATCCTTGTCAATGGGGACTGCAGTACATAGAAAGCGCTCACCTTTTTCATTTTGTCCATAGACAACTTTTACACACGTCAGTGCATAGATGCATATGAGTCCTGCGAGCAGATGAAGCATTTTGTAGCGATGTAAAAGGCGCGCGGAGAGGTTAAATAATATGAATGCCAATGTAATACTGTGTTGAATCGCAAAAATGACATTAAACTACACATAACGAGTAAAACATTTCCATCAGTGGATGATACCCTGCTCTTTGAACACCTGACGCCGCGCTTCTCGCTCTAGTAGTGCTGTTTACAAGAAGAGCGACACAGTCAACAAATGAACTTCAGTGATTAGATGAATCTGATTGGCTGTAGTATTAACGTCACTGGCTCTTTTAGAGTAGCTATAACATAAAGTTCCTAAAAAAAAAACCAAGCAGTCTTAATCCAGCACGTTAGCGAGAGAGTTTTTTTTTAAACACCTAGTGATTTGGGAAATAACTAGTCTGGGGTGCGTTTCCCAAAAGCATCGTTAGCTAATGGTGGTTCGTTCCATTGAACTCTATTGGTAACGACGGAACTTGCGACCCTAGTTGCTTTTGGGAAACGTACCCCTATGATTCTGGATTTTTATTTATAGTAGAGTGCTGTAACGCATTTTGTTTCAATGGCTGTATTAATATAATATGCTTATATTACTTTGCTATAAATAAGTTAGGCCTAAATTTTAAGACTATTCTTAAACTGTGTAATTTTTTCAGACAAAAAAAAGTAAAAATTGTTAACAAAATTATTAACATAACATAATGACTACCATCCTCCATCACTACCCATTGGAAACTAATATAAAAGAAATACATAAAACATAAAACACTCACATAACAGACAGTGTGTGTGTGTGTGTGTGTTAGTCGTTTCACATTGGAAGTACATTAGTCTCACAGCAGAAATTGGAAAGTAGTGTTACAAAAACCCTCCACATATGCTTAAACGTGATATTTCTAGTTTACTTAAACATTTAGATGAAAAGCTTGTGTGGATATTATACAAAAATTATATCGCAAATTACAATGAAAAACTAATTCAGATGATACTGGTTCTGTGATTTAAAAACATGCAAATCAAAATTTACTTTCTTACCTCAAAATTAGTTTTTTAAACTGTACTTTTTAAAAAAATTATTTATAGTTATTTATTTATTTTTTTACAGATACAGCTTCTACTGTCTGGTCAGGTGGGTGGTGGAGGTCATGTATGATTGCATCCCTGCTCAGATCTAAATAATTAACATGATTTTAAACTGAACACTCTCTGGTGTACTCTATAGCTTATGTCTGTTCTGTAACTACGTATGTGGACAAGATGAAGTTAAATGAGATTTAGATTAGTCTGACAGGTCTCCGCAAGAGGTCACGTGTCATCTGCAGTAAAATGGAAATCAAAACAGCCAGTGCTGCATTTTAGGCTTAGTAAGCTTATTCACACTGCTGTGAGCCGTCGACAATATGCGTTAGATAGTTTTAGCCAGGTTAATCAATGCTCATGTCAGTTTTAAACTATTTAAAATGTCTTATAGCTTCAAATTTTTTTAAAACAAATAGGCTAGTTCTAATTATAAATAATAGAAACAGAACTAGAATACTTTGAATAGAAAAATATAAATAGAAGAAAAAATATCAACGCTGGTTTACGTAACTATAAGTGGTGTGTCTTTGGACCAGGGCAGAGATTTCACAGGATCATTACCAGATTGTGGCTATTCACCAGAGCTAGCCACTGCAGAGAAAACTGATGCCGGGAGCAGCACAAGCGTATTGCTGAGCCTGGCAGAACTTTGACACCTCCTCCCCACTGCTGGTAAGAACGCACTGTCAAAGGGACAACACACAATCAACAGTAGAATGTGTCCTTTTAAATGGATCCAAATGTTCAACTTGACAATCACACTCATAAAAAAAGGTGAAATTTGGCAGATGTGGATGCAAAAACTTTACATTAAAATGTAGGTTTGGTTTTAAGGAATGAACTTAAATTTACAGTAAAAGAAACGTATATGTGACCAGGGCAGGCGGCCCACCACCACTTCGATATATATATATATATATACACTATACCAGTCAAAAGTTTTTGAACAGTAAGATTTTTTATGTTTTTTTAAAGAA